TATAAATAAAAAAAAAATTCCAAGAAAAAAAAAAATATTTTTGCTATTATTAAAAAAATTTTTAAAATTATTAAACTTAATATTTCATATTTACAACTTTAATACTTTTGATTATTAATATTTTAATATTAATAAAAAATAAAATAAAAGTAAGTTTCAAAGTAAAAAATAAAATTTGTAATGAATCAAAAACTATTTAATAAATTGTACTCACTTTGCAGTGCCCATGGCGTATAACGATTAAGTTCTTTCAAGTAAACAGAGCTGTCTTTGAGGCACTCTTCTGACGCTCCATCAAGGGGTGCAAAAGGTTTTGACAAAAAATCCAGTAATATTCTTTCAGGTTTATCAACAGTTAATTCAACGAAACCAACCGATATTAATAAAAGAAATAGAAAACCAAACGAAACGAAATAATCAGATTTACGATTAAAAATTGAAAATCTATAAAATAAAATATCACAAGATTCCATAGTGTCGAATTATTTACTGTGATTTGACATATGTGTCTTTACGACTAAAGCACGTGGTGTATGTAGTCACGTGTACACTAGTAGTGGCCCTAAGTATGCACGCGTAAAAGCGTAAGAGACGTCAAAACGTGAACTGTACGTTCTGTCAATCGCTGGTGCATTTATATATTGCTCGAACCGCAGGCATGATGAGGGGGATAAGAGCATTCGACTTGACGATGGGTATACCTCTTATCGATGCGACCAAAGGATTACGCGTGCGAGTAATATAGTATTTCTTTTTCAAGGAGCATACAATGAAATAGATAAGAATGAGAAAAAAAATGCAAAAAAATAATAGGAGCGCGTTAAATTGATGATATATATCCATAAGAACGAATCGATTGAAAGGATCGAATGAAGGAAAATTATATAGAAAGATATCTTCGATTATAAATCCTTAGATGGACAAGATTTTCTTCCTGCATGAACCAACTTTTATTTATTATATGTTTCAATTGTTTGTTATTCAGTTTAATTATTTAACAATAATGTGAATATTCCTAATCCATTTTTACAAAATATTAATAATAAAATATATTTTACATGTATATTAATTTATAATAATTGTTATTGCAAAAAGTCCTTTAAATTAGAAACGGTTGAAAGTGTTTATATTATAATAAAGAAGAGCAAAGAAATATCGGACAGTCAAATATTTAAAATATATTTGTTTTGTCTCTATTTTACTTTGATTCAATTAATTATTATTCAGAGATTTGGAATTGTTTGCAAAGCAATACATAAAGCAATACATAAAACATTTAGCAATTAATATATTTTGATGTAAATAAAAAATAATAAATATGTATTGTTTTGATTAATTTTTTTATTTTCTGTTTTATAATATATCTAAAAAAAAATAATAGAAACAATTATTTCTTAGAACTATAAGATTTCATTAAGATTAATTTCTGATTGTTTTTGTGTATTTATATGTATTATACATTTAATTATCAAAATTGTAAATATAATATTTAATTATAGAAATTTAAAAATTAATAATGTACAGTTCAGTAAAATTGATTGTAATACTTCAGTTAAGAAGAAAGAATGGAATCACAAAATATTTATAACCAAAAACAAGAGTAAAATCGTATCTTTATATATATCATTCTTTAATATATATAATATATTCTAATATATGCCATTTCTTTATTACTGAATATTATTACTTTTTCTTAAAGTGAATACGAAGCAATAAAAAACAATTCCGTTTAATATATATTTTATATACATAAACGTGTGGAATTTAATTTTAACTTGGATAAATTTAATGCCACTTTCTGACAATCAATTGATTAACCTATATATTCCCCGAATCATTTTGAATTCCTGTAATCAGTAATTATAATTTTATTATTTTAACACTACAACTTATCAAATAATAAATTTGTTTTTTTAAAATATACCTTTCATATAAATAGAACAAGATTTAAATAAATATAGGAATTAAATATATGAAATGTATAGATTTTAATACTTCATTATATAGTTGAAAAAAATATTTTCAGAAAAAACTGTATTTGAAATTTGAAAAATGTTAAAATTTTAAGAAATTTCATTCCTTAGAATTAATAAAATAAAATCAATAAGTAATTACATCATTTTAATTTTCAAGGATATTTCAAAACTTTCTAGAATTTTTAAAAAGGAAAAAAAATTAAAAAATTATATTTAATGTACTTTTAATCATTTATGTGATAAATTAAACTTGAAATTAAAAAACTATATTAGCAAAAAATTATTTAATTAGTGTAAAAAAATATCATTCGAGAAAAAAATATAAAAATTTCAATACATTAATAGCAGAAAAGTTGGCAATCAAAAACAATTAAGAAGAATAAAACGAAAGAAAATTGATGTTATATAAACTTGTGAAACGGGTATGTATTTGGCATGTAATTGTCGTATGCAATTAGAGGAAACTATCAGGAAAAATATACGATAAGTTTATTGACCGATATCATATGTACAAGCAATATTGTTGCTAGGAAATAAAAAAGTCAATGCGTTGATGTTTTAATTGAAAAATGAGAAGGCAACGTTATAGTCAAGCGAAAATAAAATAAAATTAATGCGCAATATCTAAGAAATTAGAATGGTTAATCTAGATAAATATTTTTTTTTTTTTTTACATAAATTACTAAAGATAGTATTCTAAAATTTAATTTTATCCTAAAGAAAATATAAGTAAATTGAAATCTATGATCGATTAGTTCCTTAATATCAGTAACAGTATGATCCTATATAATTGGATCATTTCAGATTTATTTCATTTTATCTGACAAAATTTAGAACGACTTTGAAACTTCTTACGGGTATTAACCTTCGTTACATAGAAAGTTGGTGACTTCGAGGAATTTAAGAAAGTTGTCTATATGAACTCTACTGTTTGTTTCATAAAAATTATCAAAAATGAAGAATGTAGGTTAGGGTAGAAATTGCATTCAATTCGTGAACCGTCATCAATTGGTTTAATCTTTCTTTGTAAAATAAATTCAAATTTTAATCTGTTTAAATTATAACGAAATTTCTCTAAATTATTATTTCTTAATTAAATTATTTCTCTAAATTAATTTAAAAATCTTAAAAAATTTATAGTTTGTATAATAATAAAAGTTTTTTTGTATTTTAAGAAAATTAGAAATCCAATTTCCTTTCGATTCGTTATTATATCAATATAAATATAACAATCGAATCTTTATAAATGAAATGATATCTAAATGCAATCCAAGAAACTTTGTATTAATCACAATGATTATCCAAGTAATAATTTGTTTGTATAAGATAACACAAATAAGATTCAAGATCTTCATTACACTTTAAAATTTTTAAATTTTGAATTCTAATTTTTAAAGTAATTTTTAATTCTTAATTTTTAATTTTTAAATTATGACGTAATGACAAATTCTTCTCATTAAAAATATATTTATTATAAAATCTTTTTTATAATAATTTTATAATAATTTATTATAATAATTTTTATTATAAAATCTATAAAATCTGTTTAACATCTTGATGTTTAATATCAAAGATATTAATTAAGATTAAGATTAAGATTAAACCAATTGATATTGCTAATGTTACTAAACATATTACGGTTATCGCTTTTAAGATAAAGTAAAGAAATCATTTTAGTATATAAATTATCCTTATTATCTGTGTGTATAAATACACATAATTAAACATTCTGTATAACATAGAAAAAACAAAGTAAGAATTGAAAACATAAATAGAAATATATTTAAAAAAAATATTTTAAAATTGTATAAAGAAACAGTCTTTGATGGAACTTTCAATCCCAGAATTATTTTCACACGTCAGAGTTTCGTGGTAGTTGTAATACCTTATTAACGATACATATTTCGGTTATCTCGATGAGAAAGTTGAAAACGGGTCGATCTTTCATTGGTGAAGGCACGTTAATACGAGAGCAGGGGCCAGTTTATAAGAAAAGAATTCAATGCTTTTTCAATGTAAAACTTTATCTTTTCCACTTTATCTTTTGTCTTATAGTTTATAAATGATTTTTTTATTCCAATGTTAATATAATCTTATAAAAATATATATATTTTATATATTATAAATATATATATATATGTATGTATAAAGATGAAATTATAGATGAGTAGTATAAAATATTACTTAAGAATCTTTGTACTATGCTAGACAACATTCATATATGTATATCTTCAAAGTTCAATGATTCATATGTAGCTATATACGACCTCGGGAAGAATCACGTCACTGTGAATTAATTTTGTTTACATTTCTAGTATAGATATATAATATTATTAGCATATGATATTGTTAAATAATATATAAATAATTATATTGTAAAAAGTAAATTTGTTCTTTTTATCTTTTTTTTTCATTTTATTAATCAATTTAATTTTTATCTATTAATTAAAATTTATATATTCAAAATTTTTTTTATATTTTCTTATATTTTATATCCTATATTCAAATTTTTTTTTATAAAGAAAGTGAAAAATTAAATTTTGAAAAGAATCATTGCATTATTTGATCACATATCAATCTAGTTTAGAAAACAAAAAATATAACGATAAAAAGATAAATCATATTGATTTTGATGACAATGATAATGATAAGAATGATATTGTTTTTTTCTAAAAGATTATCAAATATAGCAAAAAGAATTAATAACAAGAATTTATTAAAAAATAAATAAACAAATATTGTACTTAGAAAAAATAGTAATTGATTAATATTTTAGTAAAATATAGAAAATAAAGAAAATATAAAAAATATTAGAAAATATAAAAAATATTTTTAAAATAAATTTTTAAAAATAATTTTAATACAAATATATAGCGTAATATAGAATTGATATTTTCAATTATTGTATTTAAGATATAAATATGCCATTAAAAAATCAAATTTATAAAAAGAACATAATAAAAAAGCAAATTAATATTGCATCAAAAATATATTTTATATATAATACATATTCATATAAGCATAATACGTATATTTATCTCTATCATGTTGCTAATTTTCCTGCATTATTTTCTCTAAACAAAACAAACATTCCATATTTAAAAATAATTTTATCCACAAAATTTTGATTAAATAGATACTAAAAATCACAACAAAATATTTGCAAATTTTTATACAAAATATTATTGTAATCTTAAAAGTTATAAATAATAAACTTTACAAATCAATTACATCAATCACGTTAAGAAAACAAAAAATATTGAGATAATTAACAGAGACATTAAAGTTGGAATAATTTAATATCCCCTAAATGCAATATAATACAAATATAATACATTATATTAGTCTAAATAAAATATTTTTACAAAATATATATATTTTTTCTGTAATAAAATAACATTAAATGCAAATAGGGCATAATTTGATCTCACTAAGATCATTAAATTTTTTTATTAATCCATCACCAACCTATTTTAGATAAAATTTCTTTAGCTTCTTCAAATACTTTCTCTGGTAATTGCATACTATTTACTTTATATACTAAGCCTTCTTTCTCAAAATATTCAATTATAGGTAATGTATTGGAGATATAAGTTTCATGTCTTTTGACTAAAACTTCTTCATTATCATCAGCCCTTCCACTACCCGCTGCACCACGATTTAAGCATCGCTGAGTACATACTTCTTTACTACATTGACAGAATAATACTCCTTTTATTACACATTTATTGGACATTGCCTATTAATGAAATAATATGTTAAAAATGTATATATAAAAAAGATAAACATTATATCAATTTATCTTTTAAGAATATAATTTCCAATTATTTTAACGATATATAATATATCAGTATATAATGTTAGTATATAATGTTAATAAATTTATTATTAATTTTATACCTTATTCCAACCATCAATATTATCTTGATTTCGTGGAAAACCATCAATCAGAAATCTTTTATGAGGACTATCGGTCATTTGCATCGCACGATCCAGAAGACTACAAGTAATTGCAACAGGTACAATTTTTCCATCTTTAATATAATTTTCAATGAGTTCTCCATATTTCGAATTGGAATTCATACGCTCCTCTCTTAATAGATCACCAGCTGATAAATGTACATAACCATATTTTTCATTAATGTTCCTGCACAGTGTACCTTTACCTGCACCAGGACCTCCCAAAATAAATAAAACTTCGAATTTCTGAATTTCAGACATTGTAAAAAATTGAAGTTTACTTGAAAATACCTTGAACATAAAATACAGATAACCAGTTATACTTAAATATTTAAGTTCTCGGAAGTACTTACTTATATACATATTTTGAATATTTCAAAACATTAAGGCGGGCTTTTCAAAAATATAATTTTATTAGAATTAAATTTTTAGTAACTATTATAATTATTTGAACATAATTATTATTATATTCCATATAATAATTTTAAAATCATAAATATATTTAAAACTTAATTGATATATTGATATATTTTTTATAGTTTTTTATATTTTATACATTTTGATAATTTAAATATTTAATAGGCACATTACTCAAAATACGAAATTTCATATGCAATATTTTTATAAAATAAACACTTTATAAAATATTTTATAGAATAAAATAAATAATCAATTTTTATAATAATCTTATTTTAATATATATTCATTTATATAATGTAATATATTAATTTTTATATTACATATGTTATATTACTTACTATATACACATAATATTTAAATCAATATGTTCAAATCTGATTAAATTTGACTTAAATTTGACTTTTTTATCTTTCAATTAAAACAATTAAAATGCTTTTTATTACTTATTTGTCATATTTCTTCTATTAACTATTGCGTATCGAAATATTATTAGCAAGTACGCATGCGCAACTGTTATATAATAATTATAGATATATAAGTAATTCTGCACTAAAGCATGATAAATTAATTTCTAGCATGCTTAAGGTTTAAGGAATTCCTTACATAATGTAAAAAAATGTCAAAGGTTTGTTATGATGACGTAGAACTTGTAAATAATAATATTATTATTTTATATGTACAAATGCTATTTTCAATAATGCATATTTATCATAATATAACTTGAATTAAAGGAAATTGAGGTTATATAAAAGATTATTATTATTTATAAATAATAAGAAATTGATAATGATGATGCGGTGGTATCAACAATTATTCAAACATGATAAATGTTTAAGATTTTATATGCAATTTAATAAAAAAAAATCTATTATTCATTTATGTTCTTCTAATGATACAATTCACACTATATCTTGCATCTATAACAAACATAATTATGAAAATGGTAAAATAGAGATGCAAGAGAGATTAAAGTTAAATAAATCCGAATCGAATAAAAGAAATAAAATAACAGAATTTGCTAAAATTGCAAATATTCAATTAAATCAAAAAACTACATTTTCTAAAAAATTAGTAGATAATTCTCCATCTTTAATACAACCATATTTAAGACTTATAAGACTAGATAAACCAATAGGTAAGATAAGAATTAATTATAAATTATTATTATAATATGAATGGTTAGATTTTTTCATTTAATAATTTTATATAACTATATATTTTTAAATTTAATTTGAAAATAAACATATAATTCATTATTTTATTATCATAAAATAAATAAAAAACTTAATAATTCAAGTAATTAAAAATAATTTTTATATATAGGGTCTTGGTTATTATTTTGGCCCTGTGGTTGGAGTATAGCTATGGCAGCAGCACCAGGTGCTTTACCAGATTTTCAACTTTTAAGTCTTTTTGGAATAGGGGCATTCATTATGCGTGGAGCAGGATGTATTATAAATGATATGTGGGATCAAGATATTGATGGAATGGTAATATTGATTTTTGAATATTTTAATATAACATATTATAAAACAATTTTAATGTTAGGTAGCCAGAACAAAAGATAGACCATTGGTTACTAGAGAAATTTCACCTCTACAATCATTGATTTTCCTTGGAAGCCAATTAACTTTGGGATTGCTTATATTATTGCAATTAAATCTTTATAGTATTATATTGGGAGCAAGTTCACTAGGTACTATTTTAAATTAAAAAATTTTTTTAAAAATTTATAAAACGGTATCTTTTAATTTTAATAATTAATTGCTAAAACTGTTTTAATTTTGAAAATGCTTTTATTTTAAATTATTATATAAAAGAGCAATTAAAAATTATTAAATTTTTTATTATAGTCTTAGTAATAATATATCCTGTTATGAAAAGAATAACATATTGGCCTCAATTAATTCTTGGGATGACTTTTAATTGGGGTGCACTTTTGGGTTGGTCTGCTGTGCAAGGATCATGTAATTGGTCTGTATGCTTGCCACTTTATACTGCTGGAATTTGTTGGACACTTTTATATGATACTATATATGCACATCAGGTAAATTTAAGTTTTTTTATTATATTATATTTATTTATTATTTTGATTTTGATATCATGAATTTTTGAAAAAATATATTGCACATTAATTTTCTTATATAAATATATTGTATTTTTTAAATTAATTTAATATTTTAAATAATGTTTGAATGAATTCATATTTTATAATAATACATGTTATATATATCCAAATATATATATTGTATTTAAATTAATATTTATTATTTTATTTTTTATTTTTGAATTACAGGATAAAATGGATGATGTTATAATAGGTATAAAATCAACAGCTTTAAAGTTTGGAGACAAAAGCAAAATTTATTTATCTGGATTTAGTACAGTCATGATAACAGGATTAATTGCATCAGGTATATTAGCTGCACAGACTTGGCCATATTACACAGCAGTAGGATTAGTTGGTACTCACCTTGTTAATCAGGTATGTTATAATTATCATATAATTTTTAAGTATCATATATTATAATTAAAAAAATTAAATTACATTAAGATTATTTTTTTTATTTTATATTAATAACATTGTGTTATTTATTTTAATTTTATTATTATTTTACTTATTTCAAATAAACTTATTTTTAAATAAAACTAAAAAACTCTTTTTATATATGTTATAAATATAAAATTTTAATAAAATAATATTTATTATATTTTTTTAGATATATAGTTTGAACATCAACAATCCTGCAGATTGTGCCAAAAAATTCATCTCTAATCACAGGATAGGAATGATTCTTTTTACAGGAATTATTTTAGGAAATCTTATTAAAGTTTCTAAAAAAGATACTGATATTGTACAAGAATCAGAAAAGAAATCTATTTTCATTAAACAAGAATAATGATAGCTTCATTATATTATTATAAAAAATTATTAAATATATATATTATAATTATATATAGGTAAATTCTATATATTAAACATAGAACACGAGATAAATAACTGGCTGGTTCCAGTAAATTAAAGAATTAGTTTTAATTATATGTGTGCCATAAAACAATTTTAATTTTCACTTATAATTTTATTATAATGTTTTAAATAGATAATACAGTTTCTTAAAATATTTAAATAAAAACAATTTTTATATAATACTATTTTAAATTTAAAAATTTAAAAATACACCAAAGATGACTATACTGTAACTATTAAAGTTACTGTTATAAAATATTGATTATAATAATAAACAAAAATTTAAATAATACTTCTTTTATGCATAGTCCCAGATTTTATCGGTAAAACTTATCTCATAATATTTTATGAGTAAATAAGACAAAATTACATAATAAACGTATGCTCATAAATGTTTTATTAATTATTAATTATTAAAAAATAGTACAAATACAAAATTATAATAGATTAATTATAGTTATTATATTTATTTAATACTATATAGATCAGTTTAGCATCCTTAATTTCAATACAAAACAAAGTACCTATTTATAATAACTACAGTGAATAATATTTTTGAAAATATATCAAATAGATATTAACAAATGTATTTTTATTCTATATCGAATAAAAACTAGTCCATAGTCGTTTAGTATTTTCATTATTTTGTAATAAAACATTTATAAGCCTATGTTTATATAACATTCTTTTTTTATTTTTATTCATAGAATAGACTAAAATGGTTTACAAAAGAAAGTATAGGATATAATATTTATATTTAATATTTATTCATATATAATATTTATATATATAATATTTATATATATAATATTTATATATATCCATATATAATATTTATTCCTATTTAAAATTTAAATAAAAAATATAATAAATAATTATAATGTTTTTATATTAAATCAACTTACATTAGATAAAGTAATTTGGTCTTTATTACAATGTGTTTGAGTTTCCTTATTTATAATTTTTAAATCATTATTCAATAAAGTCTTTGTTGTACATACTTTTGATATTTCCAAATGATTCATAGTAACTTTTTGTTCTAATATTTTCAAATTATATTGTTCCTGAGTTAATAAAGATTCTTTTATTTTGTCTAAAAGTTTTATATTTGGCAATATTATAGCTATGTAGCCTCCTTTATGTGGAGGTTCCAATAAAAGTTTAGGATTTTCTATTAATGCTTCATTTACCTCTACCAATTTTCCAATTATACAACATTTAATAATATATGTCTTTTCATTTGAACAAGTAATTATACAAATATTAGAATTCATTTGTAAAGGTTGAGCACCATGTTTACTTTTACCAGAAACTTTATTCAAGACTCTATCTAGTTTATTACTAACTTTAAAATTTACTTTTGTTATATATTTATCATTTTGAAGAATAGTATGACTTGGAGCAAGAGTAAGCATACAAATACGATTACTATGTATTAAAATACAAATATCATCTGCAGGACTTTGTACATTTAATTTATAATAAGCAGTAAAATATCGATCTGTAACTGTAGGAAATAATCCATGATATTTTATTCCTTCCAACATATCTGTAACATCATAATCCGGAGGAAATGGAAATAAAGTATCATCATCATCATTTTTATTTGATAATGTACTTTCTTCATTATCTTCATTATCTGTTAACTCTTCTTTTTTCTGATATTCAGAATTTTTATCTATGTAATTTTTGTCTTTTAAAACGCAAAATGAATCATTTTTTATATTATTAGATTTAGTTCTTTTTTTAACTGGTTCACTATTATCTGAATCAATATTCATTATTAAAATAATTAATTTTGTTGAAGATAAATTTTTAATATTATAAAAACTTTGAAAATTATTTATTAAAGTTAAGATACTGTCTCATAAACATTTATATTAAAAATTAATCTAAACAAAATTTTGTATATTTATTGTTTCCTTGAATAATTATTGTATTTTCCCAATTTTTCACTAAAAATAAAATATAATTATAAAAATATAAAATTAACATATAATTATAATTAAATATTTTATTAATTATAATTTTATGATTTATTACACAAATTTATAAAAAATTTATAAAAAATTTAAATCATTCAAAATTTAATTATTTAAAACTTACGTTTCTGTTTTATGAAATAATATCTAATACACGTGTAATGAACATAACCATTTTTCACATTCTGTTATTTGAAACTTTTCATGAAGTATTTATCATGAACTAATTATTAAATGAATTTATTGTAATATAAGTATTATAACATAACTTTTAACTTCAAAATATTAAACATATTATACAACAAATAATTTGTAAGTTTTAACTTTAAAATATTAAACATATTATATACAATAAGTAATTACTTTTATAATATATTATCGATAGATAATTATAAAAATTTATATTATAAATAACATTTTTCAAAATAATCTTATGAACATACTTAAC